TTCCACCTCCCTTCCATCTCCCTGCCACCAGGGCTGGTCGACCCCAAACCCAGTTTATGGGTCACCACTGTCCCCCCCACGTCCCTGCCTGGTGCTGGGATTGCGCAGGACAGGGCAGGCAGGTCCCCTGTGCACCTGACTGGCAGGCAGGGGCCTCCTGCTGCCCCCAGAAGGCACTCACCATTGTGGCTGTTGTGCACATAGACCACCTGGGCCTGCTCGCTCGGGGTGCGCCCCAGGCAGTAGAGGATCCCCACCAGGTCAGCCTTGGAGAAGCCCCTGGCCTGGACTTGGTTGCTGCGGTTGCGGTAGTTTTGGAAGTTCATTTTGGGGTGAGTCATCACGATCTTGTTCTCCCGCTCGATCTGCAGGTAGCTCACGTCGTGCTCCCCCACCACGCAGGAGAGGAAGAAGTCGGAGTGGGACAGGCTCTGCACGTTGGCAACCAGGGTGATGTCCAGGATGGCCCCTGGGGTGAGGCAGCACACGGGCACATCACAGCTGGGCACCAGCATGGCCACACTAGCCCTGCCTCGGGGCCAGATCCTGTCACCCAGATGTCTCCCCCTTTCCAGAACATTTTTGCCATCCCCAGCCCTGAAGGCACAGCCAAGGCAAAGCAAGGTGCCTTGCAGACATATTGGGATGACACGGTTCACATTTCTGCTCTCCTTTTGGAGACCCCAGCTGGATCAGCTCCCCAGCATGAGCCAAGCATGCATCAGAATGGGATTCTGGGGATGTCTCTCCTCCCATGTCAGAGAGAGACAGCCAGGAGCCTCTGAGAGCTCCAAATGGCTGATCACAAAGGGACATTTCCTCCCTCCCAACCCTGCTCCGATGGCGCCACTGAGCTTCCACAGCTGCCTCTTCCCACCAAGTCACCCTGAGGCAGGAGCTGCTCACTTAAGTGATATGAAAAGGAGCAATTTACCTGCCAGATGTGGGAAGAGAAGTAGAAGATAAAGCTGGAGTCCCATGTCCTTGGAGCTTGTTCCAAATCTGGCAGAGGTCAGAAAATCCCCAGCATTTCCTGGCTACGGGGCTCAGAGCTGGAGGCTGTGGCTTCCTAGGAGCTCCACGTGAGCAGCAGCTCAGGTCCGCTGCTCCCTGCCCATGTCCCCCATCTCTTCTCCGTGCTGTTGGTTGACTTCCAGGGGAGCTGGGACCACCTCCTGTGGTGCATATCCTGGACACGGACTGAGAGATGTCCCCGTTTCTCTGGCTCTGTGGCCAGCCAGATGCTCAGGAGCAGGGCTTGCTGGCCAAGGGACCGCTGGGATCCCCTGCCTGGTGGCAGCTCTTCCAGGGAAAGGCAGCCGCCCACCCCTCCAGGGCTAGGGCTGAGTGCTAAGGGTTCCCTGAGTCATGCTGAGCCCCTAGCCCGGGCAGGAGGTGTCCCGACTCCGCTTTTCGTCCAATGTTCAGAGCGCCTCATGCCCCAGCCCGCCCGGGCAGTGGCATCCCCATCCCCGCGGTGCAGCCCCGTGGCCGATGGCTGTGGGAAGGGCTCTCTGGAGCAGGGAAAGGAAAGGGGCCAAGGGGCCGTGGCTGGCGGCGGCGGCAGAGCCAAATCCTGTTTCCCATGCGGCGTTTCCTGCTCTCCACCCATTGTTTGGAGACGGCCCTGACTCCAGGAGCCGTCGGGAGCAGCCCTGCACAGGCTGTCCCCCGGGGAGCGGCGTGCGGCGAGGCTGAGGCCGCGCACACCTCGGGGCGCCTCAGCCTCCTGTCGCCACGAGCCGGGGCGCGAGGCGCGGCCCAGCCGGGCTCCGGGGTGCGAGGCACGGCCCGCCCGGACCCCGGGGTGCGAGGCAGGGTCACCCGGGCTCGGAGTGCGAGTCATGGTCCGCCCGGGCTCGGGGTGCGAGGCACGGCCCATCGGGCTCCGGGGTGCAAGGCACGGTCGCCCGGGCTCCGGTGTGTGAGGGAGGGCCCAGCCGAGCTCCCTGCGGTGCCAGGGCTTGACTCATCCTGCGGGGCCCATCGGGGGACACTGTCCGGCTTCAAAGGGGCTGAGTGGAAGCACGGGCAGGGTGCCAACGAGCTGCCCAGTTCACACGGTAGGGTGGCCACTGCCTGAGGAGAAAACCCTGTGGTTTGTGGTAAACATGTCTGGGGGGAAGGGAAGAAAGAGAAAGCCTGGCTTTCCTTAAGTGCTTTCCCATGCACAGTGGTCGCATGGGCACAGCAGAGCATGGCCTTGCTATAGCGCAGGCCCAGTGTCTCACTCCCAGCATGGAGGCTGTGCCAGCCACCAGCAGGCTCCATGCTCTTTGCTTGGCAAACAAAAAACGTTCCCCATGAAATCTCCCTAAGCTTCACGCACCAAACCTCACACTGCTTCACAAATCAAACTGTTCCCATGTGAAAAGCCAGGGCTGCCAGGGAGTGAGTCTCATGTTTTGATGTGTCCTGGGCCCATGCTGTATCCGGCCAAAAATCTAAAGCACACATGGAGAGGAAAGGGAAATCCATTCATCGCTTCCGACTATTTACAGAGTGCTCTGGGGCCGCGCAGTGCCCATGGCATGCTGAGGGAGGGATGGCAGTGAGCAGGGGCTCTCACAGTGCAGATGCCTGGCCACCCCATGCCAGGGAGGGGGGAGAGAATCTGAAAAAGGTGGATACCAGGTGCAGCTGCCCCCATTTGCCTGGGAAATGAAACTGACTGTAAGGGCCAGTCAGGTGCAGAGCTGTGTGCTTACATGCGCAACTCATTCTGTGCTTCCCTGGCAGCTGTGGGGGAGCGCATCACACAGAGCCTGAGTTGGAGTGCACACAGTGAAATGCCCTCTTTCAGGAGGATCCATTTGAGGATGGGATTATTTGCGCAGAATTTTTGTGGAACGGGAGCCATATGGGGTCAGTCTCTGCACCAGGCCATACCCAGGAGATCTCAGGGATCCATTGAGGAATCTGACCCAATGTGATTTGTTTGCTTGTGTTTTTTTCTAGAGGCACCTGGATAAGAGCTGTGCTATGTGCAGATTCCTTTGGCTGGAGGTAGGGTAGGAAACCTTTCTGGGGAGTTTTGTGGCCAGCCAGGACCTTACAGCTCCACTTTAAGTTTATCTGTCTCCAGGGGAGGCACCAGAGAAATAGGCACAGCTGAGCACAGCCAAAGCAGCTCTCCACACTTGCTCTCCTGCAACATGGAAAGCTCCAGTTGCCCAATCCATAGGACACTCCAAGCCCCTGCATATCTGCTAATTTCATGATCCTCAGCTTTTTTGCTGAATCACAACATACTAAAAAATAAAAAACCAAAACAAAACAAAAAGCCCCCCAAACACTGACAAAAATACCACTTTTTGTTTTCATTTGCACATTCTAATGCATGGCACCACATGCCAGAAACCATAATGCACAGATACATTTCCTGATAGGAAATACAACCACCCTGCAGATCCACCAGTGGACTGGCCTGCCTCAGCAACACTTTCTAGCCCTGCTTCTCTGGATACTTGTTTTATGTGCTTAGTGGGTCCTGGGGAGGCCCTGCAAAGCTGGGGTAAGGACTGATCGCACCAGGCATAGGAACATTTGGGAAGCAGGGTATTTGAGCATCCCCAGCCTGCCTAGGCAGCTGGGAAGCAGGAGCTGCCTGCTGCCTTGGCATCCAGCACATGCCCACAGGATGAGGGATGGGCTGCTGGGAAGCCCTTTCCCTGAGGAAAGGGTGGATGTGCGGCTGTGAAGGGGCCCTTTGGCAGCTGGGGGAGGAGGGGCCATCCTGTCCCAGCTGCCGACAGTTCTGAAGTGCTCTTGCTGGCAATCGGCTTCCTGTCGATGAGCAGGCATGGGACCAGGGAACGGGGAGCAGGGAAGAGAGCTTGGGGCTCCCTCCTGCTTCAGAGGCAAAGCCAGGAGCAGGTGTAGCAGTTCTTTCCCTGCCTGGCCTGTGGCTCTGCCGGCCTTGCCCACTCACCTACCCCATCACCCATGGGCACAGGAGCAGGTCTGGCATGCCAGCAAACACCCATGAGATGCTGCTTTGACAGGATTTCTCAGACTTTCACTGACTGCATGGCAAGATTGGAAGGGAGAACTACTGTTAAGTGGCAGGTCTGCATGGAGGGTGCCGAAGGTGGTGGGGCACTCCCATCCTCTGGGACCTTCATGAACAGGTGTTGTTCACTGAGCTGCTGCTGCTGGGCCCAGAGACCTGCCAGTTTGCTGCATGCTTTAAACACCTTTCTGCTGGAATTCCAGCAAGACCTTTATTTTCCTGTAGGATACTTCCCTGCGGCCTCAGCCCCGGCTTCCCCCGACGGGGCTGGCTGTGTGCCCCTGTCCCAGGTGCGTGGACCAGGCTCAGGCTGCTCTCCTCCAGTGCAGCATCTCAGGGCAGATGCCACAGCCGTGCCCCCTCCTCCCTCTGGAGGCTCCCCAGCCCTCCCAGGGTCCTGCTGCCACCTCGGCAGCCCCCACGGCACCCACAGCGCAGCACGCAGTCCTGATCACCGATCACGGACGGCCACACGGCTGGGAGGTGATGGGGCGCGGCTGTTAATGTGTAACTGGCACCGCCACCTTTCACCAGCTCGGGAGGAGCGGGGCCGGGGCGGCAGCCAGGCCGGGTCCCGGGCGCTGCTGAGTGCGGGGCCGGCCTGTGGGGACTCGGTGGCAGCCCTGAGCCGAGCGGCCGCGGCCACACCTCGCCCGGCAGGGCCGGCTCTGCCGGCTTCCCAGCTTTCCCCAAGACTTGTTTTTCTGGCCGGAAGTTTCCTGGAGCCAAATGGCTCCTACCTGCGTGCTCTGCTGGGTCTGCAGCCTCCTTTGCGCCTGGTCAGTGGTGACGGGACACCCCTGCAGCCTTGACCACCAGGTAGGGGGGCCGTGGGGGCTGCGGTGCGGGCAGCAGGGGGGTGGGCAGGGCCGGCTCCTGGGCCTGCCAGCACAGCTGGGGTGCCATGGGGCAGCAGGGCCTGGCAGGCAGCTCCTGCTCTGCACGGCTCAGGAGGAGATGAGTGATGAAAACCCACGGGAGGCAGCGGAGTTAATTGGGAGATGTGCTGTGCCAGTGGCCACCAGCCACAGGGGTGGTTTGCTCATGCCCAAAGCCTGGCTGTCCTGCTCCCACGTGTCATGTTGTCCAGCCTGTTCTCAGAGCACGGCCTGGGAGAGCCTTGTCTGAGTCATGGCATTTCTGACTGTGGGGGTCTCTTGGCTGCAGGTATATCACAGCTGCCCATGAGGGGGTGCATGGCAAGCAGCCATGAGTCACATCCCTGAGGAGATCCCAACCCCTCACTCCCTTCCCCAGTGCATGGTGATGCAGTGACTGGAGCCAGGGTGATTGGGGCCAGGATCTCTGAGCACCCAGCAAGGAGCAGGAAACACTGCTAAGCCACTGTGACAAGCACTGCAGCCAGCAGCTTGGCTGCAGCAGGCCGGAGCTGAGAGAATGAAGGAAAGTGGCTGTCATGGGCCACTGACCTTTCCACTGAGCTCTCAGTTATTCCACCCAAAGGTTTGCGCTTTTTTCCAAAACCTCCCTGAGCCCAGCTGTGTTTGAGCTGCAAACAGGGCCCATGTGGTGCCTCTGTGGCTTGGCCCAATTATAACCCAGTCCTCAGCACCTGAGGTTTTTTAGGGCTTATCTGTTCCCCTGCCAAGCAAGAACAGCAGAGTCTGATAGGAGATTTAGGAGGATAAAAAGACAGGTGAAGGAAATGGAAAGCTCAGCTGTCTGGAATGTAGCCAACACAGAAACCCAGGACTATGGACCACAGTAAACTTAAAGCACAGCATCTCTGTTTGCAAAGTCCAAACACAGTACTTAGCAGGAGCTTGTGCCTGCCAAACCAAACTTAAATTGGTGACCTCCTGTCTGGCAGCTTTAGTTTGGAAACTTGACCCCCTCCCACTAAAAGCCCAGGCAAGAGTAACCCATGCTGCAGTCTGCTCCCCAGAACTGTTTGAGTTGGGGCACCCTGTTTTACTGGTAAAAAAATAAATCCATCCATGTGGGTTGACATCCTTCCATCCTGCTCTGCTCATCTTTTGGGACAGTGAATGGTCTTTGGCCTAAGGTTTTGTTTCCCAATACTGTCACAGCCAGCCAGCAGTAAGCCACGGCTACCCACTGTGCATCCTCAGGAATGTGGCATAGATGGAAGCATTGGTGCTCTGTCCTGCACAGGCCCCAGGGAGCTGCTCCAGGCACAGGTAACTAGTACAGGTGCCTAGTGCCTATAGCTCTGCAGCCTGGTCAGCTTCCTGCCTGCCCTTGCAACAGGCAAGGCTCACCTGCTTCCCTGCTCCAGCTGGGAAGATGCCCCTGTGTCACACAAGAGCTCCCAGGGGGCTGGAGGTGGGGATCCAGGGGAGGAAAAGGAAGGGCCTCTGCAAACTGACCCTGTATGACAACTGCCCTGTATAGAAGGACAGGGAGGTGACAACCTGCTGCCTTTGCACTCATCCGTTTGGGTTTTTCCTCCAGCCCTGCGTGCTCCTCCTTTACTGTTTCAGTCAGCTGCTCTCAGTCCTGGGCTGTCCTGCTCATCTTTCTCCATTTATCTAGGCCCACTCCAGTCTGGTAGCTCATGTGTTTTTTAAACGTGTGTGTGTCTTTGCTTTTTTAAACTCTGCAAGGGTAATTAAGACATTCGAACCTTTGAGCAGTCTCTCTATGGAGACACACCCCATCATGGATAGCCCATCTCAAACAGCATCTCTTTTCCCAGGGGTGGGCCAACTGCAGTGGGAAGAACCTTCAGCATGCTCCAAGTTCCCTTCCAAGAAACATCACCAGTTTGGACCTCTCCTTCAACTCCTTGGTCATGCCCCATCACAGGACTCTTTTGAAGCACTTCCCTTCCCTGCAGTCTCTCAACCTGTCCAGCAATGCCAAGCTCACGCTGAGCCCAGCAGTCTTCTCCAACCTCGGGGCGCTGCGTCTGCTGGACCTGAGCAGCTGCAGCATCACCCACATCCACATGGACACTTTCAAGGGCCTGGGCAACTTGCACACCCTGCTTCTAAGAAACAACAGCTTACAAGAGTTTGATGTCCCTTTCCTTTTGCCGCTGAAGGCTCTTTTCCACCTGGACCTGCAGCACAACGCACTGGTCTCTGTGGACCCTTGGAGCCTGCAGCTGTTGGAGACAGTCCCACAGGTCCTTCTGGAAGGGAACCCCTGGGCCTGCGACTGCAGCGCGCACCCTCTGCAGCAGTGGCTGCGGCGCAGGAGAGGTGAGTGGAGGACGTGGGTGGCAGGGAGTGTGTCAGGCAGGCAGAACCCCAAGTGTAGGAGTCTTGCTTGATCTATTTGCTTCAACCCCTGGGCAAGGTCTGAGATGGCTCTCTGTCCTACCTTGCTGATGGACAGCAAACCAAAAGGTGATGTGTCTGTTCCTTGCTTGTAGTTAGGCAGGATACCAAGGGTTTCTAAGAATGTCAGCAGGATAATTTGGCTACTCTTCTGGGAAATAGGTTGCGTGTACACTTTGGCCTCTAAATCCATCTTTATGTGACTTTGTGAAGTGACCACATTTTCATTGTTGAGGGGTTGGCAGCTCCCTCTCTGGAGTCAGGTCAGAGTATCTGAGCTCAGCTCCAAGTAAGAACAGTGGGGTTTCTGTGGGTATCCATGAATTTGTCTGTATCCAGTTTAAAGGATCTGCTAATCAGAGTCACACACAGTTCCTTGGTCAGGGGATTTTCCCTTTGGTTGTTTCCTACAATATGCTGAGGGTCAGCGAGTCTGTAAGGCAGAGCCAGGAGCACCTTGCAATGCAACCCATCAACCCAGGAACAAGTGGGGATCATCTTCTCTAAACTGGAGAGGGGATGGGTGCAGACCCCCATCCCACCTTAGCCCATTTGTCTCCCAGCTGTGCAGGTGACCTGCGTGTCCCCCCCGGGGCTGAGGGGCCAGGAGATCGCAGCTCTGGATTCTCAGGACCTGGGCTGCCAGGTTAAGCAGCGGTTTGCTCGTGAGCTCACCACACCACAGAATATCACAGTGACTGAGAACAACAGTAAGTTGTGTGGATTCAGAGGTGTCCATAAGGTTTAGCACCTTCCTGTCCTCTGTCATACTGGGTTGTGCTGCAGGTGGAGACCTCCTGCTCTGCCCCACAGTCCCAGAGGCCCAGGCTGCTGGGCCACACTGGTGCAGTGGCTTGGTGGGAGGGTGGCCAACTCCTGGAGGTGTTTGCTGGGTTTGTGACAGGGAAGTTAACGGGTGCCACGAAGCCACATGGAGCACAGACTCCACAGTGATGGGCAGCAGTACCAGCCCTCTGCCAGGCAGTTTTGCTCCCAGTGTTCACACCCCCTGGGTGTGCCACAGGCTGACCTTGTGCTTTTCCTGTGTCACAGGCACTGCACTGCCTGCCGGGAAGGGGGGAAGGAGCTGGCCATACCTGGTGGGATTCCTGGTGACAGCAATTGGCATCTCCATCCTCATTGCACTGGCTGCCAAGTGCAAGCTTGCCCACAAGAACTTCGCCAGCTACCGCCACCGGCCGCTGCCTGAAATCAGCTCCATCGGACGCAGCCCCATGGAGGATAGCAGCAGCTGGGACAGGGGCTCCTGTGGGAGCCATTCCATAACTGATGCTGCTGACCTGCAAGCTGAGGATGATGATGGCTTCATCGAGGACAACTACATTCAGCCCAGTGAGCAGCTGCCAACAAAAGAGGAGCGGGAGTTGCATCGCTCCATCTGAGCTTACAAGCTTACAGCTTAGCCACCACTGCTGCGGCCTCTTGCTGTCTCCCTAGCTCCACCCCTTTCCTACCTGTCCTTGGCTTTGGGCCCCACGTGTTTGGGGCAGGAGGAAGGGAGCAGAGAGGAGAGGAGAGAGGGATGGACTAGGAATGATGATGGAGACTGAAAGCAGCTGGTCCCAGAGTGTCCCAGCATGACACCAGTAGGCTGCACTGTCACAGGGACACCAAACCAGGTGCTGCTTTCCCAGCCTTGCTCAGATGCTGAGGATAAAGAAGGTGGTGCCTACTGTGTTCAGGAAGCCAGGTGAAGTGGGAAGAGGATCCTGCCCGGGTGCTGCCATGGGGTCTTGGGCACTGGCCCCACTGCCCCATGGTGCCAGACTCAGCCCTGCTCTGTCCCTCAATGCATTGTTACTCTGAGGTGTGATTAAAGCATGATTTAGCCCTGCCTCTGCCTGCAGTGGTTTGGTGGAACTCTCCCAGTGGCAGTGCTGGGAGGAGACCCCCAGCCCCACAGCTGGGGTGCAGTTTTGTTTGCAAGTGCTTTCAAGGGCCATAAATACATTGTTCTAACTGTGGCGATGAGAGATCACATCTGTGGCACAATGAGTGCTCTTGTCCAAACAAATATTTCACCTGCTGTGGTGTAGGCAGCCCTAGAGCACCATCACAGGGTTTCTGTGCATGTCTCTCCAGCCATAGCCCTTCTTTCTTTTCTCTCTTTCCTCTCCAGGAAGACAAGCTAAAAGACACCTTTCTTCTGTCAGCTTCGCAGAGCTGAGCAAACTCATCAGTGCTGCCAGTTGCAGTGCCAGGCCCATGCACTGGGGCGAGGTGACCCTGTCCCCCAGCACCCATTACAGAGTTCCATGTGTCTCTTCAGCTGCAGAGTTGTACAAATGCAATAATTTTTACATTCCTGTCATCTTTGTGGTATGATGAACAGCACATGAGACACAGGTAACTGCAAGTTATTTCTGCTGGAGTTGGTCGTGCCTTCTTGGGTTACTCTGGAGTTAAAAGCAGGGAACAGCTGTGGCATTCACCTTTAGAAAGTGATTCATAAGGCTGGTACCAACCGATTGGGAAGGTTGCCCAGGGCACAGCCCAGTCATTACCATCCCTGATAGTTCAGGAGTCTCTTTGTCATGCTCCAGAGCATGAGATAACACAGGACAGCATTTCTCAAAGCTCTGCCACACAGCTAATTCCCCCACCTCCTTTAAATCTCTATTTCACTGCTAGCTGACTTTCTATTTCTCCACTCATTAAAACATTTAATGTATAAAAAAGGTAAATAATACACGTCAGAGTATGCAAACCCAAGGGGAAAAATGGGTCAGGCATTGGATGGATGAGACAGGGTAGAGAGCAAATGTGCCACTTGAAGCCTTGAGCAGGAGGAAAACCTGCTGGCTTCTTTCAGTGGTCAGCCAACTTTTGCTCTTAAGTGCCATATTTCTAAAGTGAGCTTTACTTTTTCAGTTACTGTCTCATAATTTGTCTTCTGGGCTCATCAGCTACCTGTGAAAATACACTCTACACAGTATTTTTGGAAATTTCTAATACCTTTTGGGTAAGAGATTTAAATCTGAGGGCTGGGAAAAAGCATTTCAGTTATCTTTTGGAGGGTATTTGCTGGGCTTTTCAACATCCTTTTCAATCACATGAATTTATGCTGGATGCAGTCTTTTCTTTTTAGTCTCAGCGATGTCTTAAAAGAAGTTAAAAATACAAGCACCTAGGCTTACTTGTCCAGGATCTTACCAGTCCCTCAGCATTAGTGGTTGGATGGCTTGTCTACTTTGACCCTCATAAGTCCATAATTTGTTTTTTTAGCCAAGCAGACATGGCAGGTTTTCTTTTGCATGTGTGTGTGTGTGTGTGTGTGTGTGTGTGTGTGTTTGTGTGCATTTTCTGCCCTCAGGCAGCTGCAGTGCAGGAACCTGGCAACTCATGTTTGAGGGGAAATACATCTGGCATGCAGAGCTGGGAATACAAAGGGTCAGAGCATGAAAAGGAGGATCCTTCTCCAGGGGTCCACCCAGGAAGCTGTCATGAGGGCCTGGCTGAGGCTGGCTGGGAGCAGGGGCAGGTATGCAGGCAGACTGGTTCCAGGTGTGAGGCTCAGCCCTGCCACAGGGTGAAACATCTTCTCTGTAAACAAGCTAGCCTGCACTGACATATTCAGAGGCTTTGAGTGCTCCATGTGAGTATCTTTCAGGGGCATAGCAAGGTCTCAGGTTCACAGAGTGGTGGTAAAGGGATCTGGATACGTCTGAGTTTTTAAGCAGAGAGAGATTAATATGGATCTGGAAGTGGGAATTGTGTGTCATGAAAGAAGTACATGCATTTTTGGGGCTGTGGTGGCATTGCCACACTAGCTGGTGATCCAGAACCACAGCCACACGAGGGATCGGGGGCTGTTGTGATTACTGCCCTGGGCTGAGGCCAGCCCTGACACCTCTGCTCTGCAGAGAGGTCTGCACTCAAATATCAGCCTTCAACACAATCAACTTCTGTAACACTTTATTATGTATGTCCACACACAACACAGGAACCCAAAACAAACCACACCTGTGCTGCAGAGGGGAGTCAGTGATTGGGCTGCACAGGCTGTCCCTCTGGGCAGCTGGACAGCCAGCCACCATCTTCAGGCACAGCCTGTTCTTAGCCATTTTCTCCTTGGGCTACTGGCTCACAGTCAATCACCCTTTCCTGGCATAAGTCACAGGCACATGGGGCACATTCTGAAGGGGCTGTGTAGGGGACAGGATTCACATTGACATGCAGGCAGCACGGAGCTGCGAGCTGGGCACAGTCACGCCTCTTCACAGAAATGCCCAGATGTGCAAAACAGCTGGTGTGCAGGCAGCTGCGGCCTGCCAGCACGTGCAGGCTGTGGAGCTGGCAGTCACTGCTGGACCTCTGGTGCTGGCAGAGGGGGGGTAGGCTGGCATAACTGCACATGCCCTGACACAGACCTGCAGAGCAGCAGCAATGGTGACGGTGGTGCAAGACCATTCAGCTCTGACCTGTTCCCTCCTGTGTAACCACAGAGGTCCCTGGTGGGCCTGAGGCCAAACAGCCCAGAGGGAAATCTCAGCTTTCAAGAGATTTAGCACAGGAGGATCTGAGCTCACCACCACCTTCTGAGCTCCTGGGCAGATTAAGGGAGGAGATGCAGAGAGAAGAGGAAACAGCAGTTTAATAACATCTACAGATGATGTGAAAGTGGCAGAGGAAAATGTAGCAATAACAGAGATACAGAGAGAAAAGCTCAGATTATGTACCTTTACATTGGGGAAAACAATCCAAGGCTTCAGGCAGAGGAAAGTCAGCAGGAGCAGGACAGGAGCAGGTGAATACAGATGTGGTTTCATGAGATCTCACTGCATTGGGAATGGTTGGTCTGGAGCTGTGAAGGGGTGAAGCCCTCACTGACCAGCTGGTGGTGAGCTCTGACACTGCCTCCAGATGTAACATGAACAGTGATTTGTGCTGTTAGCAAGGGAATCAGCTACCTTCCTTTTTCAAAAAATTTGCTACCAGGCACCAAAAAACAATAGCTCAGTCTTGTTTCATTGGAGAGGACATTTGGCAAATAATGAGCAAAACCAACATCTGGGGCAGAGCAACTCAGGTGAAGGAAAGATGGGAGCAGACAAGATGAAGAATCACAAAACAGTCTGAGCTGGAAGGGGTCCAGAAGGATCACAGAGTCCAACTCTTAAGAGAATGGCCCATATGGGGTTCAAACCCATGACCTTGGTGTTATTAGCACCATGCTCTGACCAACTGGCTCAGAGGAAGAGAAGGTCATGCAGGAGCATCTTCAGCAGGAGGTTGGATCTATGTCTATGGAAAGGGCAGTGAAATGGTTAGTGAGTCTATGAGGAAAATGATAATTTTGTCAGGTAAATTAGACTTAAGTCACAGGAAAAGTTCCTGGGGTGAATTGTTAGTCTGCCTCTGGTAGAGAGACCTTGGTGATAAAACAAGACACCTTGTAGAGATAAAACACCAAAAAAACTCCAGGTAAGGCCCAAGTGACAGTAGAGGAACTTTTCTGCCCTTCAGCATCTGCAGCACTTGGGAGACAGAAACAGCATGGGAACAAGCAGGGACTGGGATGAGCTGCAGGGCTCCTGGCAGCAGAGGTGCCTCTGCCTGGGAAACTCCTGTGGGAGGGCACAGCACACTCCCCTCGCACAGCTTTTGCAGAGGGCGGCCTCAGCCCCAGGATTTGGGCATCTCATCACCATTCCTCAGTGAATGCACCTTGCTGTTTGTAGCTGGAGCATCCTGGCATGATAACAGAGCCCCAACACTGAGTCCAGCACAGATAACCCATCAGGGCCTTGACACCAGCACTGCTTGATCACCCCTTTGATAAACCACAGGTGATGGTGGGCTGCAGAAATGTAACACTGGAACAGATCCTGGCTTTGCAAATACAAACAGCTTTTCATGTGAGGTCCAGCCATGCTGTGGCTCTGGCACACACAATCCTATGCAAATCCCACACTCACTCCCACAGACACCGGTGACTTTTGGGAGCAGCCCCTGCAGCCATACCTCCCACCAGGCTGCCTCGTGCCTGCTGACACGCAAAGTGTCTCCTGCCATTCACCAGCTGCTAGAGGCTCTACTTCGCTCAGGAGCTGGAGGCTCTGCCCAGAACACGGGTTGGTTTTATACCACCCACAATTACAGCCTCTCCTGCCAGGAGAGTGTATGACACAGTTCCAGGAACTGCAGGAACCAAACAAGTTCTGGGTTTCCCGGGGTACAAGACAGGCTCACCTTCACTCTGTAACATGGTCACAGCCAGGCAAGCAGCAGCTGACACAGGAGGCTTTGTGGAGATAAAATGCCAGGCAGGTCAGAGCCCATCCAGGTGACCTGAGTCTGTGCTGTGCCACCAGCCTGGGGCAAAGCACATGCCGGTCATCTCCAACAGAAACACAGGGCAGTTCTCGCCCTTCCTTGGAAAAGACCACCACTGACAGGTTGTATCCGCTAAGGCTCACACAGTGTCCTGGGTCAGATCAGGTTGGCCATGCTGGAGGTGGGGGGGAGCCGCCTGTTTCCAGCGAGGCGGCCGGAGATGGTGAAGACGCGGATGTCGCCGGCCTCCAGGCTCCGCGGAGCCGCCCGGCGGCAGGAGGTGCACAGCAGGTACAGCAGCAGGCAGAGGAGGATGGCGCTGCCGGCGGTCAGGAGGATGACCCCGCTGGTGAACATGCTGGCCAGCGGCCGTGCAGGGCTGAGCTGCATGCTGGTGGTGGACAGGATGGTGAGCACCACCCCGCAGACCAGCAGCACCAGGGCGCTCAGCAGCAGCACCAGGCAGTCCGAGAAGCCTCCGCTCTTGAGGAGCTCGATCTGATCGCGGCTGCGGATGCAGTTCATGTCCTGGATCGCAGAGCTCAGC